ACCAGAGTGTGCTGCTCCACCGTTGCCATCTTGGGAGTACCTAACTCCGCCCCTAACTCCCAGCTAATCCGAATATGGTCAAAGAGGTGGGGCGTGGGTGGAGCTGAGACTATATACTATATATANGAGTTGCTGACACAGTGTTAGTGCTTGTGTGAATGCTAACTCTCTCTCTCTCTGTACTGACAAGGTTTCAGGTTCATAAAACCCTGCCCCCCCCCGTCCCCACAAAGTGACAGGACTGGTTCCTTAGGTTTGTGACCATAGATTGTAAATGAAGATGGATGTAGCTTCTGTGACATCACCCACAGGTTTCTGAAGAGCAGTTTTGAAGACCAGAGTGTGCTGCTCCACCGTTGCCATCTTGGGAGTACCTAACTCCGCCCCTAACTCCCAGCTAATCCGAATATGGTCAAAGAGGTGGGGCGTGGGTGGAGCTGAGACTATATACTATATATACATATATATATATATATGTGGATAGTAAATGCCCAACACAGACATTAATGTTACACTCCCGTGATGACAGTTACACCANTGTAGCTTCTGTGACATCACCCACAGAGTTTCTGAAGAGCAGTTTTGAAGCCCAGAGTGAGCTGCTCCACCGTTGCCATCTTGGCAGTGCCTAACTCCGCCCCTAACTCCCAGTTAATCCGAATATGGTCAAAGAGGTGGGGCGTGGGTGGAGCTGAGACTATATACTATATATACATATATATATATATATGTGGATAGTAAATGCCCAACGCAGACATTAATGTTACACTCCCGTGATGACAGTTACACCACAGCCACGTCCATCCTGTTGAAGCTCCTCTGAATTTAACATCCACCCAGTCACTCTTCAGAGATCTTCAGGGGGAGGCGCAGCATGAGAAAAAAAAACACTACAAACTAGAATGACTTCCTCGTAGTTGTCTGTCTCCTCCTCTCAGACTAGTTTCAGGTGACATCCCTGTTTATCTAGACTCATAGAAGATATGTACTATTTGTGTGTTTTTGGGGGGCACTGTGACCTTGACCTTCGACCTTTAGCCACCAAAATCTAATCAGTTTGTCCTTGAGTCCAAGTGAACGTTTATGCCAAATTTGAAGAAGTTCCATCAAGGCGTTTTTGAGATATCATGCTCACGAGAGGGAGACGTACGGATGGACGGGCAACCTGAAAACAATATGCCTCTGGCTCTGGCTGTCGATGGTGCGGAGACATAAACATAACTGTAAACATCTGGTTAGCTAAACTCAGCTATGCATTTGGCAAAATGGATTGATTTTTAGTAGCTACAGTGGGAGAGGAGACAGGGGCAAGCAGAAAACGGATGAAGTACGATCTACGTTTATTCCTTTCTACAGTGCATCCCTGCATCAACCACCTATCTGCAACAAAGATGCAGGGCCCTGTCTTAAACCCGGCGCAAAGTGGCACAAGGCACCCCCGTTCTTCAAATAGCAAATACACCTGCGCTCATCTGAGAGGGGACATGAGAGTGTGGGTCAAAGAGATCTTTATGTTGTCTGAGGGGAGGCTCACTTTTCACACAACAACAACCCCTTTACATCCCCATCTACATCATATCATGATATGAACACAAAACAGATGCAAATCAAATAAATTTAATTCTTGCTGCCATTAGAAATCTCTCCTGTAGAGGTGGCAATACCACAAAATTTCTTTTCGATCGGAAACCAAGTAATACAGGGCCAGAATCAACAATATCGACATTGATACCAATACCTTTTATTATTAAAAGTGACTAGTATTTTCATGTAGGGGAGAGCAGTGTCATGATTTATGAGGTTTATGCATCATTAATAGGCATTCATCTTTTAAAAGTAATTTTTTATTTTAATGTGATCAGGACAGTGAGAGAGAGACAGGAAAGCTGGGAGAGAGAGGGGGGCTCACATGCAGCAAACGGTGCATGCTGTATTTGAACCCTGGCTGCTGCAGGAAGGACTGAACTGAAATGGTGTGCGCTCTACCAGCTGAACCGCCGAGGTGCTCCATTGTTGCTTTTATTGTCTCGGGATGGAGCAGGTGCGCTGTATGCTGCGCGTTGGTTCATGTTTGAGTGCACATGACATGACAACAGCAGTGGCAAAGAGTTGGATGAACTCAGTCCTACTCTGAAATGAGTCCAACATGGAAGAGACTGGTATTGATCCTCTTGACACTAGAATGGATCTTCAAAAAGGAGACGTAGTATTGAAAGTATAGATATTTTAGGATCGGTCCGCCCACTCCTACTCTTCTGGTCGGTCAGTGTCTGAGCAGTGAAACCAGCTTACAGAACTACTATATGAGCAGATGCTTACCAAGCAGTTCATTTGAAGGGGTAACTAGCAACTCTGACCAGCTTCCCTGTCCCTGCTGAAGAACAGCATCCCCACAGCATGATGCTGCCACCACCACGTTTCACGGTGGGGAGGGTGTGTTCAGGGTGATGTGCAGTGTTAGTTTTCCGCCACACATAGCATTTTGCATTTAGGCCAAAAACTTCAATTTTGGTCTCATCTGACCAGAGCACCT